AGTTTGTGACCCTGGGTTTCACGCTTTTGCAATCATCAGACAAACTGATTCAGTTTGTCTGACGATCCTAAAAAGCATGAAACCCAGGGTCTAAACTCACATCAATCAACAAATATATATATATATATATATATATATATATATATATATATGTCTAGAAAAAATCACTTGTATGAATGCAACAAATGTGATGAAGCTTTTCATTAAATTTTTCTTGTATTCATACAAGTGATTTTTTTCTGAACATAGAGTCTGTAAAAACTGTTCAAATGATCAATGTATATATAGTGATGAAATCACTTGTATAATACAAGAAAAATTTAATCACAAAACTGGAATGTTTCTTTCACTAGACCAGTGCATGTTTGGATGCTTGATGTTGCATATTTTCCACACTCTGTTAAAACACTTCCCAGATAATTAAGCTGCTGCACCTGCTCAATGTAGATAACTCCATTTGCAACTCACATATCAGATTCTTTCTCTTACTGATCATCATACTTTCAGTCTTCTTCAAGTTGATGATCAGTCCTTTTTTCTTGTTTTTTCCACTACTCTATCTAAGGGTTCCTGTAGCTTCTTTTCCAAGTCAGCAATCGACATAGAGTATAAGTGTTGTTTTTCTTTGCATTTTCCCTAAAAGATTTTTATTGTTGATATATTCAGTTCATGGTATTCTCATCACCTTTGTGTAGAAGCACATTTTTATAACTTCAGTTCTCTTCTTCATCTGTGAGGTGATTGTCCAACATTTACTGCCATATAGCAGGACCAATTTGAGTTGAGTTTTCTTTAGCTTCTATGGGATATGGTACAGAAGAACCCCCTCCCCCACACACACACCCAATGTGTCATCACTGTGATGTCACTAACTGAATTCTGGTGGACTAGGAACATGTAATATAGCTGAGTCATAGTTCCAGATGTTTCAGGTTGAAGATAGGTTTTGGGCATAACACAGACCCCATGGGAACATGACTTCACTTACTAGCTTAGGCCTATGAAATCTTGTGATTTCACTATTTTTCATGACCATTTGCACACATTCATGCATTTCAAGTTTGCCAACAATGATAGGTCATTCAAGCAGAAGAATTCATTGTATTGCAGAGCATTTTGGATATTCCAACATTTGCTTGGCATGAGCCAAAATGAGCATTTATGGGATATAGTGGAGAGGTATATTCATATGCAAGATCTCAGATGTATAAACTTCAGGGAACTGTGGCCAGCTATTGAAATGGCATAGCTCAACATATCTCTAAAGGTTTACTGCACAATTATGTAATAAATGCTATGTCAAGTTACTGAAATTTGCAGAGCGAGAGAGCTCCTAATTGATTTAGGCACCTATCTCATGACTTTTGGTCTCTCTCTCTCTCTCTCTCTCTTTCACAGACACACAGACACACACAAACACACATATGTATATATATACAGAGAATGTCTCATATCGAGAATATTTCACATTGAACATGAAGAAAAATTAATTATTTTTAATAATATGTAGAAATCTCCACTTTTACCTGAAGACGGTCGTGAGACCAGAAACACGTGTCGTAAAATTATGTAAAACAAAAGCATAATATTTTTTCTAAATAAATCCACATTACAACCAAAAAACGTTTGTGGCACCTCTCTTCTTTTTTAATATATATATATATATATATATATATATATATATATATATATATATATCTCTAATAATAAAGTTTATCTTTTTTTCATATTCTTTTACATTCAGTAACCCCTGACATCTTAGTGATTTATTATCTTGATTTGGGTGAAAGTATTCAAAATAAAAAAATAGAAAAAATAATACATATATATATATATATATATATATATATATATATATATATCAAGTGGACATTGAGATCAACCCCCCAATGGTGACTGACTAATTCATGCTTTAACACAATAATCAGGCTAAGCATGAAATAGACTGTCACCACTGAGGTGACCTCAGTGTCCACTTTTATATATTCGCTATACCTGATACTGAGCATTTTAATCTATAAATATAGATTAAAACTATATTTTATCATATATATATATATATATATATATATATATATATATATATTTCTATCAAAATCTTTCTCCACTATACTCAGCAGAGTAATAGTGACCATTTCATTTGATTAGCTAATATATATATATATATATATATATATATATATATATATATATACTTTTTTTCATTTCAACTGAATCTATAATGTCCAGTTGATATAATGTCAAAATTCTGAGTAAGTTAAAAATGCATTATCCCTTTTGCTTTGAACAGAATTTGCATCAATTCTAATGAAAGTATATATTGGCAAAACACACATATCAAAGTTGAAATCCGATATCTTCATAATGCAATGAAAAGGAATATTTAAGCTCTGATGTACAGCTCTTAATTGAAGGATTAGCTGTCCTCAGAACCAGATGGTGCTGCAAATTGTCAGTTGCCATTCACCTCAGCGTTAAAGGTAAAAAAAATTAAGCACACACCTAAGCGAAAGACAGTCTCATTCATTTTCTACATGCATATGTATGTGTGCATATATATATATATATATATATATATGCACGCGTGTGTGTGTATATACATACAGTGGTATGACAAGGGAAATGTTACTATATTTTTTCTCAGATTTTAGCATTCAATAAATATTTTTTTAATAAAGGTACTTTTTATAAATTTTCTTCATAACGGAAGAGGAGACTTCAGGCAACAGTGATATGGTTCTACAGAAGGATGATGAGAATACTATGGACTGAACATGTGAGCAATGCCAAAATTTAAGGGAAAATGGAAACAAAAAGGACACTTATACTTAGAATCAGAAAGAGACAGTTAAAATTTTTATGAGACATAATGAGGAAAAAGGCTAAGAAAATTTGAAACTCACAGGACATATTGAAAGCAAGAGTGGTAGAGGGAAAAGTGAGTAACCTGTATTATAAGCTTGTGTAAATGGATGGTAGAAGAGGGAGTATAAGGGATATTAAAAAATGCTAAGAGCAACACATCATAGGAATTTGAGGAGTGCCATTATCACTTGAGTTCTGAAGAAAAGTGGTACATAAAAGAAATCTAACAAGTTTCTCTTCCACTTTTTTTCTGTAAATTATGATCTTCAAAAATTTAAATGGAAATCAATCAGCATTGTGGATCCTTTATTGTCGTTTCTCCTCAATAACATTCTCAGTTTTCTTCACTGAACAGTAACTCACTGCATCTTAGTGGCTTTATTGCCTTGATTGGCATGAAATGATTAAAAAAGTGTCAGATTTTGATAAAAAGTAATAAAAAATTGGATTTAGCCACTATCAAATAGCATCAAAACTTGAAATCCTATAATTCTGCAATAAAAGAAATAAAGCTACTATGTATGGTTCACATTGACCAAGGCCATCTTCTTGTATTTGGATGGAACATTAAAAAATATCAATGCAAGCCAGAAGAATATAACCAGAACAGCTAAAAGAAGACAGTGCTATGGAAAATGACAAACCAAATTCTTTGAACCACTTGCAGCCCATTATCATATATATCTAATTCTTGTTTATAATCTGAAGTACTAGATGCTGAAGACTTCTGGAATATGGGGAATATGAATTAAAAAGAAAACATGTTCATTTTGCAAGAGAATTTTTCTCAGCCATCACTGATGGTTATTTAGACAAAAATGTTGCTCTTTTGCTGGAAGACAGAGAAGAGTGGAGAATGATAGGAGCAAGAATGTCAAGCAATTCTGACAGCCAAATGAGTATCTTGATATTAATTTCATTGAACAGATTGGAATCATTTGGGATTGATTGCAAAATAAGAAAAATACATAGAAAACCTAAGAAAAAATCTGCTTCATGTTTTTAATGTAGTCTGTTTAGATAGGAAATGAAAGAAGATGGCTGATCTGATAAATATGATTCAGAAAATGTAAAAACAATAACATTTGTCCATGGCAAATTCCAATTTGAATTTGAATGAAAAATAATCTTGAATGTTTGTGCACTGTCATAGTTAGTTGCCCAGAATGAGAAATCAGCAAGCTGAGTTCAAATTCTGGTTGAGTTTGTTACATTCATTTTCACATAAACATTCTTGAGAAAAATGTGAATACATCTCTTCTGCACCAAGTTAATTACCAGGGCAGACCCCATGGTTGGAGAAGAAAAACTTTGAATTCAAATCCATATTTAGACCTGCAAAATGCATCCTATACAGCCATCAAGACGATTGTGGTGTTCATTGATTCTATGATTTCAACTGTGGTTGATTTGATAGATGCTTGAATGAAAATAGTGGTGTCTATTTACTTTTCCTATGTCTTTGTATGTTTTTGCTTGTACTCCTTGGCTAACTGCAGTAAATACCTTTCTTCAAAGTACAAAGAATGTCTAGGTCAGAGATGTTTATTTAAAAGACTGCAACAAGCTGACAAACCAAAGCACTTCCTTTCAGGTTCCTTTCTGTTGAGAAGAAAGCCTTTGTAAACTTTAGGACATTGAGAGTTTTGCTTTCATAGGTGATAAAGGTAATGTGTAAACTACTTCAAACAATAAATTCATGCTTATCAATTGTTACACTTTAGTTTGCATTAAAAATTTCAAAGCATTTAACACAAATGCTTCTAAGTCAGAGTACAGATCATCATAGTCATCTTTAAATGAAGGTCAAATAAAAAGATTGAATTTATATTTAATAGCTTAGTTTGGTAGTAGATTGCTTGATTAATTCATTCATTTTCTACAGGTTATCAACCCTTTGCAGGTTATTTAAAGCCTGAAAATATATTTAGATTTAAGAATTTTTTGGAGATAATGGTCTAATAATAAAAGTCTTATTAAGTAACTCATAGCTGGGGTGAGAAGAGGTGGGTTTATATCTTTCCCAAGGGTATTTGCACATAAGTGAATATAACAAACGCAACTGGAATTGGAACTCAGCTCTCCAATTAACAATTCCAAACCAATGTCCATTACATCACCTGCACATCCAAACTCTGCAGCACCTGGTATTCCCAAGCAGTAACCCACCTAGGTACTAACCAGTGTCAATATTGCTTAACATTGGTGATCGTATGGGAAGCTGTGTTTCAACATGATGTAATCATAAGCAGATTAGGAGTAGAATGTAGTACAAAAGAAAACTAAGATGACCATGTTTAATGACTGGCATTTAAAAACAGAAGACAATCATTCACTTTCTATAAGAAATCAGTCTTGTATCCAGGGATAGTGAGATATATAAATAAATTTTATGATGAGCAAACTACTTCTTTTCCTTTTTTTATTTTAATCATTTTACCCCAAACAAGGTGACAATGTCACTAAGACGCAATAGGTTACTGGAAGTCTAAGAGAATGAGAAGACTTTAGTGAGAAGAAACAGCAATAACAGAACAGAATTCAGCAAGACAGAAGATGGCAATTGGCATTGCATTTAAATTTTTAAAGATCGTAGTTAGCAGGGAAGCAAGAAACCAGAAGAGAGTTCCACGGGCATCAAGTGTGAGAAAAGAAACTATAAAAATATAACATACAGTTGTATCCAGCTAGTTCAACAGTAAAATGGTGAGACCTAACTGCAAATCTAGTAATGCACTTAAATTCATGCTGTTGAGGCATCAAGGAGGAAAACTCAGAACAGTTGCCTTGAACACATTTGTAGAAAAGACAGAGGGAAGCCATGTCATGACTTTGGGAAAGTGATTGAAGTCTAGATGTCCAACTGCATTCAATTTATTATACCTTCTTCTACATGCTATGTCCCCTAAAGGACGTGGATGATTATAGCCCTTCACAACTTCCTATCATTAGAGTAGCTCTTAGCAATGTTTGTCATCCCTCTGATTTTCTGTTCTACTATCCATTTGCACAAAGCTCTCGTTAGCTAAGGCTACTCACTGTACCTCTTCTGCTCTCATTATGTGTCGGAGAAATTTAAACTGTCTTTTGTAAGTATACACATCCTTTTTGTATTTTCCTTAAAACTGCAAACATGATATTTTTGGTATCCTTCTGTAGAACTATATATCTCTTGCCTCAAATTATTTCTCTTCATCTGTAAGAAAACTGGCTCGCATTCACTTCAGTATAGGGGGATTGATATTATATAGTTCAACATGTTTTTCTTTATTTCTAAGAAAATTTTCATCTTTTTTGATATTTTGTTTAGTTTTTCATTGGTATTTTTTGCTAATAACACCAAAATCTGAAGGAGCATTGTGAATTTTTAATCATCTGTTCAAACACTCATCTCTTGGATAAATCTTGCAATTATTGGTGGAAGCTTCTGCTATTTTATACCAAATGTTCAATTCTTTTAATATCTCTTGCATATTTACAGTATGATGCTTATTAATGATACAATATGATGGTTTATTTGTTTTATTATTTATACAATTATAGCAAGGATGTTTCAATTTTAAATTTAAACCAGTGATATAAAATATAAGTTTTTAATCAACTAAATAAAAATTTACTTGTTCAACTGTGAAATATATATCCCATAATATAAAGCAATGTAATTTTATATATTTATCAGTCATGCAGCTTGATATCAAATTAGTAATGAGATATTCTCTTATACTAACAGATGATATTACTGAATGCCACTAAGCAAACATATATTGTGTTCTAACCACAAAACCTGGGTTCTGATCCTACAACGGTCAATTTATCAAGGAGGTGATTCTTGATGATTTCAGTGAGGAGGCAATCTCAGTGTGTGGCCCTATTGGGAAACGACTGAAAACTGTGCTGCAAGTTCACTCAAGCTTTGTGAATGAAATTGAGTAGACAAAACTACTTGGAAGCCATCAATGGTTGTTCTAGTATGTCATTAAGATCAAGTGTTTGAACTTTCTGGTTTTGTTCAAACTGATGATCATGCTAGATTACATGCTCTCTTCCAGAAACTGTAACTAAAGTCCCATCAGCATAATTGCAGTATAAACCACATGTCTAAGTAAGTGTTAAAGAAACATAAAAATTAGTCTGGGTAGATTTTTCCCGCAGTAGGTTGCCATTTCTTTCTGCGGTAGAACACTTGCCATCCAAGGATATAGATCCTGGTCTGTCCTGCTACTTACCCATAACTGGAGGGAGAGGAAGAGGAGAATTCATACCATTCCCAAGGGTATTAGCACGTAAGTGAATGTAATGGATTCGATTGTAATTTCTGTAGAAACTACAATCATTGGCATCATTTTTTTGATGATGCCAGTAAACTATTTCTTTTTTAGGCTGTACATGACATCCAAATACATTAATTGAATAGTTTAATATGATAGGTAATTAGTTATATTAACTAAAAGTATTTTAATTACACAATATACAGCTTTATTCATAGTTACTAAGCTTTGTATAAAATTTGATGTTTACTTTATTCACATTCTGAAAGGAAAAACATTCCTTAGATATATTAGCTAATATTTCTTTTTTTTTTATCTGTTTTCATAATATGTGATGGCATTTTGCCACTAGTATATATTTACTGACTCTTGACAAGATTTTATGAGTAGCTGGATTAAAAGAATGTGAAAAGATTTAAGATGTGAAAGGATTTGAAGGTATATGAAAAGATTAGAAAGGATGTGAAAAGATTTGAAAGGATTTGAAAAGATGTGAAATGATTTTAAAGGATATGAAAAGATTTGAAAAATGTACAAGGATTTTAAAGGATTTGAAAAGATTTGAAAGGATTTGAAAAGATTTGAAAGGATTTGAAAAGATGTGAAATGATTTTAAAGGATATGAAAAGATTTGAAAAGATGTACAAGGATTTTAAAGGATTTGAAAAGATGTGAAAGGATTTGAAAAGATTTGAAATGATTTGAAAAGATGTGAAATGATTTTAAAGGATATGAAAAGATTTGAAAAGATGTACAAGGATTTTAAAGGATTTGAAAAGATTTGAAAGGATTTGAAAAGATGTGAAATGATTTGAAATAATATGAAAGGATGTGAAAATATCTGAAAGGATTTGAAATTATGTAAAAAGATATTTAATGATTTGAAATGACGTGAAAGGATTTATGAGCAGCTATTATAACAGTTAATGTCTCAAAATGAAAAGTTACAAAACTGAATTTGAAATCACTTTCACACAAATACACTTGAAATAGGTGTCAATCCAGCTCTTCTCCCACATTTATGGGGTTACATAGAAGGGAAAACTGTAATGGTTGGCAACCAGTCTAGGACAACTCTGACTTTTAAAAACTTTTAAACATTCAAAACCATATGTAACCCTGGCAAAGCACATACTATGCTGCCAATGAAAGGCTCATGGCATTCACAATGACTATGAGCTCAACTGGTCAATGAAAAAATAAATTATTTACAACATCAACCTGGATTTCTTTAACCTGTCACACAATAATAAACTACAAAAATATCTTACGTATAAAATTTTAACATCGGCATTATGATGTACAACCACAAGATCAAATTGATGATGGTAATTAACTTATGCAAAAAATGTAATTTACTCAAAATGTCAGAAGGAAGATATGCACATTGTTCAAAGTCCATATATGCATTCAGTTTCAGTTGGTAAATATGTCAGGATTTATTTTGTATTCAGTTCACAATGAAAAGAAAAAAAATCCTGACATGATAGACATTCACAAAGCCCATCAATAAATTCTCACCAATGGCAAACAAATTTCTAACAAAATAAAATGTACCAGCTTTGTTGTTGTACATTTGAAAGAAGTTAATTTTTGAGTTCTTTAGCTATGTGTGTTCAAAAATAAGTTATTTTGCTTGATTTATATAAGATTACTAATAGGTTATTTATTTTGAAATGCTATCTTCCTTCAGGATCATGACTATCCACAGATTCCTTTTTATTATTATCTGTGAATTGCCATGCATTCTTGGGAAAACAGTGGAGTGATTTTCAATTGCCTTCTCCACAGTTTTGATTTAAAAGTTTTCCTTCTTTTTGACAGGTTGCCACCCAAGGCTAGAAATCCCAGTCTACTCAGATATTTAATACATATCTGGTAGAAGAGATAGATTCATGCTTTTCCCAATGGTAGCAAAAGGCTGGATTTGAACTTCACTTATCAATTCTATTTTCTGTGCTTATATGCATCAAGTAAATCAAAAACTAATTTCAGATAATGGTTATTTTATTAGTAAGAAATAATTCCTTGTTCCTTAAAATCTATTTACATTGTTCATCCTCATTTTCATTGTCATATTCTAAACAATATAAATAGTGTAAGTGGTTACAATACCTCATCTCAGAAATATAGACAGCTCACTAAAATCTGTTTAACTATTTCAACTATTTTTTAATTTTCAGAAAATAATCTATTTTTATAGTTTCAGAATGTTTCCAGATACATGCATTAAATATAATTGTGAAATGTTTCATTTGTAATGCTTTTTCATAAGATATTAATCTCCACTTACTTTCATAAAAAAAAATTAGCATATGTTGTTTTAATCTTTAAAAGTATACATTATTTATTACATTGATTAGTAATTATTATATAATGGATGAAAAGGCATTATTATAGTCAAGATCCTGCCAAGAATGGAGTATTATTGCCATATTTTGGCTGTAGTTGCTCAATCCTCAATCTCAATTGACTTCAAAATTGATTACAAGATCTTGTGGGGAATGACTTATTTTCCACCTCTTTCCGATGGACAACATTGCAAACCTGTTTCTATTCCATTGCTATTTACATGACGATTGTTCAGATGAAATCTGCTCTTTAGTTCCACCAGTTCAGAACTTTACTGCTAGGACATGCCACACTATTTCCATGGAGCTCACTCATCCTTACTTCTTCCATATTTCAAATGTAATAATAGTTTTTCCTAAGAACTGCAAATTTATGGAACATGCTCTCATATGTGTACTTATCTGAACACTTTAATCTAATATAAACTCAGTCACTACCCACCCAACTCCAGGTAGGTCTTCCAACCTGTCAGTCCAGAAGTACCTTCACATACTCAAATGAGTAAGCAATATAATCCTTATAATGGCTGCTTATTAAGTAAATAAATTAATTTATTTCCGTAGAATATTAGTTATGGTAAAAAAAGAAAGAACTCTTAATTTGATGTTGCTATAAC